TATATCAATCGTTTAAAAATCCTTTAAATTTCATCCTAAAATGAATTGACCCATTTTAAAATAAATATTACTGAATGAGGAACACTTTACTTTTCACCTACAGTACAAATATTCTGGTACGTTTGCTAACCGTAAATATGAAGAACTTTCTTACCTCAAAAATCCGAAAATAAACGACCCCATGCTGGTAACTCTATTGAAAATGCGTCCCCATCCAGCAGCACATCCTCATTAGTCTCTTATAAGGAAATGCCCCCCTCCCCAGGGATCATGAAATGTTGCATACCAATCCTGGCATCCTGACTTGTCAAAATGCTCTTGTCAAAAGCTATTTACACGTGATCCAAATGGTGAAATTCTAAAGAGTGTGAAAAACATCAAAGATCTCGGTATTACAATATCGTACGATCTGTCATGGAGCAATCATATTTACATAGTCGTCAATAAAGCCAACAAAGTCCTCGGGGTCTTTAAGCGCGTGCTTGGGTCTAATAGTGTAAACAAATTCCCTTTGCTATTTATAATAGTAAGGCCAATACTGGAGTATGCGGCCCCAGTGTGGTGCCCCTTCCAAGTAAAGGACATCGTTTCTCTAGAAAAATTCCAAAGGAGAGCTTTGAGACTGGCTCTAGGCCAAAAGAGAGGCGAAATGGACTACGAGGAACGTTGTCCCATTTTAAAGTGGTCACCATCAAAGAATATTGTCTTTTTCTCTGATCAAGTGTTATAAATCAAGAGCCATAAATGTATATTTTCTTTAAGTAATCTCGAATTTCAAGACCTTTTCCAGTTTGCATCAAAATGAATAAGACGTAATCATAATTGCAAGTTGAAGTTTCAAGCATCTAGTTCTAATTATTGCTACAAATATTCAGTTTTTGTGAGAATTGTAAAAGGATGGAACGATTTACCTGACTGGGTTGTCGGGGCGGGAACTCTTGCATGTTTTAAGCGGATCCAATGCTTGTTCCAACTCCACCTGAAAACAGAATTGGAAAAAATACAGAAATTAACCAGGTTGGATTTCTTATTTAAAAAGCTGAGGTCTTTCACCAACTGTACTCGCAAGAAAGGCTTACAAAGAGACGAACGTAGATGAAGGGTTGCAGGATTAAGATATTCTTGAAGGAGCAGATAAAGTTATTTGCGTTCGTCGTCTTAGAATTTTCACTGCTAATTGAAGTTCTGTTATTGTAACTCATTAAAAACCATGCCAGCCAATACAGGCCCCATGGAGCCATTCATCTTGTACCTCTTGTGATGTAATTAATCTAATGTTTAAACAACGCTTTGGTGCCTAGCATAAGCAGGGAGAGAGATCTTTTGAGCCATTCTTAGCTTGTTCCAGGCTCTTGGATAGTGAGGATGACGCACAAGTGAAAGGCACACGAAAATATGAGCACGTGATTTGGGAAAAGGGGAGTGGAACAGGCTAAGCCATTTCCTAATAGATCTCTTTCATAATAGCAGCCTATTGATGTATTCTGCTATATGTATGATAATTAGCCTTTCTGACCTTTTTAGCATGTGAAAAATACAAAAGAATCCTTACTTTCAAACGAGGTCAGAAAGGCTAATTATTATACAACTAAAAGAATACATTAAGGTAATAGGCCACCATTTTCAAAGAGGTCTATGAGAATCATTTCTCAAACAGGTTAGAGGTATATGCCAAGAAAAACAAATTTGACTTGAACATTCAAGTGGAAATCATGACCATGTACCACTTTTCCGTACTTTCCACCAAAATATTTTCCAGCAGATCCTTGGAAATTTCACAGAAATTTTCCTCACAGGGGATAAGCCTAGTGGCGACAAATGACACAAAGAGTGACAACAATCAACAACAATCAATCTTTATTAGTGCCCTGGGAAAAATTTAAAGTAAATTACATGTTGACAATTAGCAAGATTAAGGGAGCACAGCAACTTAAAAAACGCAATTGCTAGTTACGCTAAGTGGCTGGCTATGCGGAAAAAAAATTTACATGTACATTAGATAAAGAAATACACACGTATACAAACACTTAAAGAAAGAAAACAAAAAAAACTAAGCAAGGCCTGTGTACATAGTCAGCTGTAAATGTGGATCGGTTGAAACTGTGGGACAGCATCTAAGACAAGTAAAAAAGGGACATTGCCTCCTACATACCTACCCACCCTCAGGGGGCTTTTATTAAGAACTTTCAGTGACAACATGGACTAAAAATTACTATCTTAACATGGAAAAATTATTGCATGAATCTTATAATCTTCGACTTTCAAAAAGAGGATGAGATGTTTCTGGACCTCTGCTTCCTGTAAGAGACCCCGTCTTGTTTGATTCTTTTAAACGGCCGCCTCCAACCATAAGTGTCCACTAATATTAAAATCTTCCCAATCAGGGCGGTCGCTTATGGACAGTTGTTTATGATATCAACAAAGGAACCTTTTGGGGACTAAAAATAGCCCTTTCTTCTGATCTAGACAGGAGCACTGGTGTAGGTAATGCATTTGCAGTAGCAGATGGAATCATGGGTATCATTGATACTGCCACTGCAGAGACCCCTCAAGAGAGATGCACTACATGTAACCGAGTGTTGAGCTCTCCTGGCTGTAGAGCAATGTGCATGCATGGCTCCTGGAGGCTGTGGAGGTCAATGTATAGACAACAACCGGAAGATGGCAACAGATGATGGAAAATGTTGTTATCATATTTGCGACAAGTGTTTTGCAATACTAATAGGATAAGGAGGTGGGGAAAGACATGTATTATTTTTATATTATTATATGTAAATTCTTAAAACAGTTAAGGAATAAAGTAAGAAATTTTTTTCCATTTGTTACAAAAACTTTCAGTATTATTTTTTTTCTGGTTTAGCTGTCAAATCCATGTTTTTAGGTATAGAGTGCAATAAACTTATTCTTACAGGACACAGAACCTGAAGGGGCCTATTTCTTCAGTAATAGTTAGCTTGCGCAGCAAGCATTTCCGTGCAGTTTCAGAGCAAAGAACAAGAAACGAGAGTCAAACACCGCCTAAAAAAATAGGGCTTGCCCTCGTTCCATGTTGCACGGTCAAATCTGAAAATCCTGTCCAGCGGTAATTTTTTGCTGTGAAACCAAACGGAAACGCTTGCTATGGAGGCTAAGTAACAGCTACCGCCAGAATTATAGCTAGTTTATATCGATGACTTATACAGTTAACCACCACCAGGGAACCCCTTATCCAGTTCATGAAATAAGGTGTGGTTGGAAGATGGTGGTGGCTTTAATTTTGAAGTTGCTCAAACTTCAAAAGCTGCTGAAAAGTTGCTGTGCACATTTTATGTTCATGTCTACCTTATCTTTTTTATCCGTTACTTCTGCCGAATAAATCATAGGTATAATAAAGATGTTATTCTAAACACGAAATTACTGGTTTGTCTAGTGTGGCCCTATTTGTTACTCTTTACGCGAAAAACAAAGAATGGGTAATACCTGTCCCAAAACCGAGAAGAACCTGGGTACTAGATTATATATATATACTTGAGGTCATACTTGAGAGGACGGGAAGGTTGACGACAGTGCAAGCTACGTATATCTTGTAATCAGAAAGGTGCAATCACTGCAATGGCTACTCTTGATGATAACTGGCAGACAAAACGCTCAACTATCAGCGAAAGAACCAAATTTATTTTCAATAACGAGTTATTGAGCGATGTGAAGTTCGTAGTTCCTGCTTTGCATGACGAAAGTGAAAGCCGGAAGATTCAGAAGTGCATTCCAGCTCACAAGTTTATACTTGCAATCAGCAGTCCTGTTTTCTATGCCATGTTCTACGGTGAAATGGCGGAGACTTCAGGCACTATTCAACTGCCTGACTGTGATTATGCGAGTCTCTTGGAGTTGTTTCGTTTTCTGTACAGCGATAAAGTGAAATTGAGCGGAAGTAATGTCTTGCAAGTTCTCTACTTGGCAAAGAAATATCTGGTACCTTCACTCGCTGATAAGTGCACTGAATATCTTCGGGACCATCTAGAGGCGTCGAATGTGTTCTCTGTTCTGCCGCAAGCTCAGAAATTTGAGGATAAAGATTTGGAAAAACGGTGCTGGGAAGTAATTGAGACACAAACCGAGAATGCTTTGATGTCGGAAGAATTTGACACGCTTGAGAGATCTGTTGTTGAGTCTGTTGCGAAAAGGGAGAGATTGAATGTAAAGGAAGTGGATTTATTCAAGGCTGTTGATCGCTGGGCCACTAAAGAAGTGGAAAGGCAAGGGCTTACCCTTGATGGCGTGGTCAAAAGAAGGATTCTTGGAGAGGAAACTGTGAAAGCAATAAGGTTTCCAGTGATGTCGCAGAAGGAGTTTGCTTCAGTTGTTGTGGATTGTGACATTCTGACTAAAAAAGAGATTGGTTTGATGATGAAACACTACGGTGGTGTCGGTTTAGAGACTTATTTACCATTCATGCATTCCCCTAGACAGTCTAGACAGCGTGATGCTTGGCCTTTGCATCGAGTTTACAGATTTGAAAATGTAAGCCAGCCTGAAATGCCGCGTGGTTCCTTTCGTGGCTCCTGGAACTACGCTCGTGGTGAATCTGATGCCCTTGAACTTACTGCCAGTAAACCTGTCACTTTACATGGAGTGCAGCATTTTGGTGAAGGTTACAAATGTTACAGTGTTTCATTAGAAGTGAAAGATGTGGCAAATGGTTATTCTCTGGCAAAAACGAGGGGCACGTTTGTCTCCAAGAAAGATGAGACAAATGGTTACTATGGATTTGATGTCATGTTTGATCACCCTGTTTCCCTTGACCAGGGTAAAACGTATGAGATTGTATCACTTGTCAAAGGCCCGCCATCGTGGCGTGTGATACACGGCAAAAACTCGGACGAAGTTGAAGGAATCCAGTTTTCATTCAGCAAATCAGCTTCTTCTAGGAATGGAACTGATGTTAACCTTGGCCAGCTTCCTTCATTTATTTTCAGCAGAGTGTATTCTCAGCAGAGTGTCGTTTAATTCTTAACTGACGATATTGATAATTGTTGTCTGCAGATTTGTTTATTCATTGAAAAAGAACTTAATCAAACAAGCCAAAGTCTTTTTTAGGAGTAACGAATCATATATTCCCTACCACCTGTTGTTAGGGTTAGGCTGTATGCTGTCGCAGGGTGCAAAGAAAATCATTTTTACAGCTTGCCATTCGGGCAAGCTGAAGCTAGCATTTACTAGCCCAGACGTCATTTTAACTAGCCCCAAAAACTTTTTGACTAGCAGAATTGATTTCATAGTTCTTCTGTTATTTGAATTCTTCAAAAAACATCACTTACCCGTCGGGCAAGTTGAAAACAGAATTTACTAGCCCGATAGCAAAATCCACTAGCCCCGAGCTATCGGACACTACTTTCTTTGCACGCTGTGTCGACACACCGGTAGCTTCACTTCACTGAAATGATTTGCCAAGCAAAACGAATAGCATGTTAATTTTCGGCTATCAAGTAGGACTATGGAATTCTTTCACGTTTTATTACTACATTCAAGTTAAAGTAGTGAAGAATGAAATTGATCATGCGCAGAAAAGGTAAAAAGAGGAATTTTTGTTGCCCACTCCATTCCTCTCGTTTAACTCGACTCCTTGGTTTTACAGAGATAAGCAGTTTCAAGTTTTATCCCCCAGTAAGCTAAAATAAAAGTGAAAAGCAATTTAAGTGATAGCTCGAAGTTTATTGACGAAGTGAGATAAAATGTGGAAACCGATTGAAATCATTGCCATTTGCACCTGTTGGCAGTTTGTAGTCACTAATATGAGTTACTAAACATATAAGCCCCTCCAAAAATAAGCTCCTCAAAAAGGGCCTTTGAAGAATATAAGCCCCGGGGCTTACTTTCGGAATTTTACGGTATCTTAAAACTAATTATTAAAACCCTAATCAAGCGGTTACAGTAACAAAGCTCATTTTTGTAGACCACAAAGTGTACAATTTAAATGGCAATGATCAATATATAGATTTAGCCAGGGCTAAAAGCGAAGCTCTG